AGTCCTTTAGTACGCGGATGACATTATTATCTTTATGGACAATGATCTAGAGAGGGCCAAAAACATGAAGCTTCTACTTTGTGCTTTTGAATAACTTTTAGGACTCAAGATCAATTTCCATAAGAGCGAATTGTTTGCTACGGAGCAGACAAAGATAATCAAAACGAGTATGCACAAATTTTTGGGTGTAATGTAGGATCGTTCCGGTTTAGATACCTAGGAATTTCTATGCACCATAGAAAACTCATGAATAAGGACTAGAAATATGTTGAAGAAAAATTTCAAAAGAGATTGCACTGCTGGAGGGGAAGATGTTATCAGTAGGAGGGAGGCTTGTTCTTATTAACTTTTTTCTAAGTAGTCTTTCCATGTTCATGATGTCATTTTTTGAAATACCTAGAGGGGTTTTGAAGAAGTTGGACTATTTTAGATCACGGTTTTTTTGGCAGAGTGATGAGCATAAGAAAAAAATATGGATTGACAAAGTGGGAGGTAGTATGTACACCAAAAGACCAAGGAGGATTGGGAGTCCTAAATTTAGATGTTCACAATAAGTGTCTCCTAAGCAAATGGCTCTTTAAATTGTTAAATGGAGACGGGGTTTGGCAACAATTGCTTACGAATAAATATTTAAGGGACTAAACTTTGACACAGGTTCAATACATGCTCGGAGACTCTCAGTTTTGGGCTGGCCTCGTGAAGGTCAAGGGTGAGTTCCTTTCGATGGGTAGGTTTGAACTAGGTGACAGGTCTCAAGTGTGTTTTTGGGAGGATCCGTGGATAAGACCACGCCCACTTAAAACACTCTTTCCTACACTATATAACATTGTGAGGAAAAAAGTGCATCTGCAAGGTCAATGTTGTCCACGACACCGTTAAATGTAGCTTTTAGGAGATCGCTGATGGGTGTTAATTTGCAAGCGTGGCACAATGTGGTGGCTATGGTTACAGATGTACACCTAAGAAACTAGAGAGATCGCTTTGTGTGGGGGCTACATCAGAATGGATTGTTCTTAGTCAATTCCATGTACAGAGCTTTGTTAGGAGCACAAGCTTTACCGTTTAACACTTTAATTTGGAAACTTAAACTACCTCTCAAAATCGAAGTCTTTATGTGGTACTTGTACAAGGGTGTAATTTTAATAAAAGATAACTTAGAGAGGCGGCAGTGGCAAGGAGATAGGAAGGGTTGTTTCCGTTCCTCGAACGAATCCATACAACATCTACTCTTTGACTGTCATTTTGCTAAATTTATGTGGATAATTGTTCATGTTTCCTTTAACCTAATACCTCCAACTAGCGTACACAATTTGTTTACAAGTTGGTTGAAAGGGATAAATAGAAAAATAAAATCACAAATTCTTGTGGGTGCAAGTGCCATTTGTTGGGAGATTTGGTTAACCCAGAACGATATTGTGTTTGACAAGGCCCTAGCACCATCTTATTTGCAGGTTATCTTTAAGGGGACATACTGGACCAGGTACTGGTCCCTACTATAGAAGGAGGAGGATTGCCATTTGTTGAAGATGGGATGTAGGACTATTGAGACAGCCGCGGTGGAGGTGTTTGCAAGACACGGCTGGAGATTTGCCAACAAGCTTGCTTTTTAGTTGTGGCTTTTGAAAACTTTTTTTGTTATTTTATGGCTCAAAACTTTGTTTTTGAGATTCCCTGGACCATTTTGCTCTCGCTTGTAATAACGAACAGCCATATGCATTAGTTGATGCAAAAGCTAGGATATTAATATATTCCCTTTCTAAAAATTTGGACAAGCTGAGGGAGGTAAATCGGATGGTTTAAAGAGTTGGAGGAGTATAAAAATATAATCCAATTTTCCAATCGAGGGGCTAATTGGATTAACACAATAGTTGAGGATGGTCAGACAAACTCTTTCCAAAAATAAAATTGCTGCAACCAAGTCAACTTAGTAAGAAATGAGCCCAAGGACATATAGTTTTTTTTGGGAATATCTATTTATCCATCGACAGATTTTGAATGGTAAAATCTGTCGAATTTTATAATGTTGCACGTGTAATTCTCTGATGTTGCACATGTTATCCTCCTATGTTGCATATGACTGAGACAATGAAGTATGCAACATGCATGAACAATGTTTGAAACATGATAAAATATCATCTGCAACATCTTATACAACTTGTCATATTTCCTCCTCTACAACATTTGCAACGTTAAATAACAACATTCACAACATGAAAGAACAACATTCGCAACATCAAAAAATTTGACAGATTTTTTCCTCAAAAATATGTCGGCAGATAAATAGAAAATATGTAGTTTTTTTCTTGATAAGAGCCCAAGGATATATAGTTAAGTGCAGACTACTCCCTCTATTCCTGACTAAATAGATTTCTAAAGTTGTCTTAAGTCAAACTTTTTAAACTTTGACCAAATTCGTAGAAAAAACATTAAGATTTATTATATCAAACTAGTATCATTAGATGTACTATAGAGTATATTTTTATAATGTGCTCATTTTATGTCATAGATGTTGTTACTTTTTTCTATAAAGTTAGTCAAACTTAAAAAAATTTGACTGGCACGGATTCTATGAATTGATTTATTTAAGGATAGAGGGAGTAGCTTCTAGCCTAGCCACCGTGAATACAGAAGAGGGTAGAAGACAAACTAGCCAGGCCTAGCCCAATTTAATCATGGACAACCGGTTTATTAGCGCAACTCTAGCTCCACACTGTTTATCATAATTCTACCATATATGATTTGGAGTTTGTAGAATAAAATAAGTTGGTTTGAATATCTGTATTTATCTAAAAAAATTAATAACAAAATTGCTCAACTAAATGTCGTCCATGTGTCTATAGCTCCGATTTCAATAATTTCTGGTGCCTGCAAATTGTTCCATCTAACTCTACGTCAAACAAGCCATACTTTTTCTTGGTAAAAGAAAGATTTTATTAATTCACAATCATTACATCGAGTTACAATAGTTATGAACCCACGGGCCATACTTGGAAACCTAGTAAGGTTTGGATTTTACAGTTCCGGCTAGTAAACATATTCCTATAGAAAAAGATCACTAAAAAGTGTGTGTGTGTATATATATATATATCTGCAAGATCTTCCGAGAAACACAATACATTTGCAAATACTACAAACTATATAGACACTGAATTGTTGTCCAGCTGGTTAGGCCAGTCTCAGTGGGGGTTTCACCATAGTGCCATGCACATTAAATATAGTGACACATCAGCAATTTGATTGGAACGAGGAGGAGAGAGAGCACCAGCGTTTCACCATGGTGACACCGTGCTGGCGTTGTTTCCCAGAGAGTGAAACGGAAATGAAACCAGCGCTGAGGGGTTTCATCTCGTCTTCCTCGATCCGGCTGCTGACAGGCCGCTTGATTCTTCTTCGAAATCCTCTCCGCGCCATCCTTCCCCCGCGCCATCCTCTCTCCAGCGCCACCACTTCTTCCCATGGCGAGAGCGACCGTCCCAGCAAGCGCCCCAGTTCCCGCTAGGTCAAGGCGCGAGATCCACTTTGGACTTGCGAAGGATCCGCCGCGCCGGATCCGGTCTCGGCTCTCGGCGTCCTCCACCACCTCGCGGGCAGGGCGACCTCCGCCACCTCGCGGGCAGGGCGACCTCCGCCACCTCGCGGCCCATGGATCCGCCGCCGGCCGATGACTCGAGCCATGGCGCCGCCGGCAGAGGAGGCAAGTCCGGCAAGTCTCGCGGCCGGCTTGGACTCAAGAAGCCGTCTCCCACCCCCACCGCGCCGACTCCCACCACCACCGCGCCGTCTCCCACCCTGACCGCGCCGGCGTCGCGGCCGCCGGTGAGTTGGTCCCCAGCGGCGCCGGCTCCCACCCCCACCGCGCCGACTCCCACCCCCACCGCGCCGGCGCCAGGACAAGCTCCTGGATCCTTTCCTGCGCTGACTTGTCCTCCGCAAGGAGCAAGATGGGGCTCCATTCCACCAAATTTTGCACAAGACCCAAACTCTTGGTATGATTTCGAACTATTGTTTCAGTCAATCGACACTGCTGTGATTTTGATTCTTGCTATTTGCTAGTTGCTGTGATTTTGATAGATGGTCAATCGATCCCCAAGTAGATTAGTTTCTTTTCATTGTTGTGCTCTGTACAATTAGTTCAGCTAGTGTTTCATCTTGTTTTGTTGCTGCATGACAGCAAAGGAGTTCACCTGTTTGTTCGATTGGCTAGCGTGCTAGTGTTTCATTGCGATGCTGCTGCATGACAGCAAGGGAGAGTTCATGGCCTGAACTAATACTGTGCTATTTTTTTTAACTTATGCAGGGTGAAAGCAACTACTGGAGTCTATGGGGTGCAGCAATTTGGACTTTTGGAAGTCATGATTGGTTGAAGATGAGCTCTGTAGCTCTTATATCTAATATATATCTATATTATTATATGCACTTGAGCTCATTTTAGTGATGATTGCTGCTGCTGTCCTGAGAGTAGCAAGCTATATGTACTTTGTTTTTTTCTACCTTAAGTACCAGTCATCTATATGTTCCTGTGATCTGAACTGTTATCTTGATCACTACTATTTATCAATGCACTATGTGAGTGCAGTTTCAGACTTTGCACTATGTGAATGCAGTTCCAGAACTATTTGTCGATCAATGCTATTTATCAAGTTGCTCTTGTGTATGTATTACAGTTTTGTTGTGAAAAGTAAATGTCTGATGCTTCAATGTCAGTTTTGTTGTATGTCACTTGTGCTCATATATCAGTTTAGCTCTTGGGGCCTGTTTCTCTTTGCTCGTGTGTACAATTTGCTGTGAAATGGCTACAGAATTAAGGATGCATATGATCCGATAAGCAAACAGCAATTAATTGCTTTGCAAAGCATGGGAAACGGCAAAGTGAAATAGCTGCACTGTGGATGTTGTTTCAATACTCGTTTCATTGCTGCTTTGTCATCATTTTTTTATGGGAAACAGTGTATTGAAACGGTGCACTGAGACTGGCCTTATAGCCACGCTGTCACCTAATTTTAGTTGATTAGATCCACATACAGTGAATCCAACATGCCTTTGATACTCCGTGAATCGGTGTATCCATCCACATCTTTGTATAGAAAATCCATTGTACGAGCCAGGTTGGCTACCTTCTCCAGAAGAGCCTTTGGTTGTGGCTGTCTCATGCACTCTTCGGTGATGTCCATCCACGCTTCCTCGATCAGTTCTCTAAGCTTTTCTATGGCTTGTTCTATTGTGGTACCATATTCTTTTGCACAAGTTTGCACTGTAGATACCATATTCTTTGATGCTTCTTCTCGCTGCAGCCAAAAACATTGAAAAGTTTAGGAACGATTCTATAATTGAGCTTATCATTTATTAGCACTTAGAAAATATAGACTAACTGGCACCTTGTACGACATTATATCATTAGCGAGGCGTGCAATAACACAGACAGCTTGGATGATTTTCGGATAGGTAGAAGCCCACTCAATAGCCTCGCTAGTGGCCACATCTCCCATTGAAATGAATCCCTGGCTCACCAAGTGCATACAACCACTACTGCGTGCTGAAATCTTTAGATGTTCATCAACGGTGGCTGGCACATATTTCTTGTCACGCCATTCGGTCTCGGCGTTGTAGCATTTGGCCATGTCGATTATCTAAAGTGCATGTACAATTAGTGTGAAAGCTCAAAGATACAATATATCCCAAAGAGAAAACTACCCGGGCAAACCTTTAAATTTGTAATAGAGGCCTCAGGGAGCTCTAACTACTGTTATTAGCAAATGCCATTTTGTCTGGAACCCATTAATTATTCTTTATACTTGCATATACTATGTGCACCCAAAGTCTCAAACACACATAAGTTTAAACTAATGCCGAAATTATTGTTCTCTCTATGAAAAAAATACTCACTGATCTATTTCTTCCTGTATGGAGTATTGAGAATTAGAAAAGTATTCTTAAACTATATAGTTACCACTAATTACTCTTATAATATATCATTAGTTACAGTTAAATAAATTTGTATTGAAAGACTTGTGGAATGTGAATCCAATGATACAACTTTTATCTACTATGCATGCATATAATCTGAATAATTGTTGGACTAAATTTTTTCAAGGCAGATTTTTCATAATCGTAAGCCTTAAATTTGAATTGAGTAGTTAATATTAGATCAAGCAGTCACCCACGTTAACCTTCTAATCTACAACACATGCGAAGAAAAACTGCTAGAACTATATTAGTTTAGATGTTGCACACTTGTTTGATTAGTATATAATGAATAAAATAAAACACTGACAATCATATTGCTCTAAATTAATTTTAGATTGGATTGTGCCATAGTAAGATTATAGATATGTCAATCACAAGGCTGTACAATGAACATTTACACATACACACAAAATATAACCATAATGCTTCACGTCAATTTTCCTCCTAGGGCTATATACAATTATTTCTCCGTTTTAATCTTGTTGTTTCAATAAGACATACCAGTCTTTTTACCAACTTTGCATGTTTGCTGTTTTGAAGATTCAACTCCTCCTCGATGGCTTTTACGGTGGTAAGTATATTTATATATAAAGTCCTCAAGTATGTTGGGCATTGCTCTACTGCTTCTTCATCCCACCTGTCATTTATGAAATTTATGATTTTATTACCATATGTATTAAAAACAGAACTTCTAGAGACATGAGCTTTCCACAAATATATAATTAAGACTATATAAATTTATAACCCTATAAGCAACATGATGAAATATGAACAGAAGTGTTGCAAACCTTTGCAGTGCTGTAGTGAAGACATTGCCTTCTCCTGTGGTGCAATGATTGTCATACAAGTCATCAAGTACAGACACAATCATAAACAATTGTGTAAGCATCTTTCGTGAATAGGAATATTGGGGCTCAAAGAATATTCCCATCATCCAGAAATGCATCTCCACCATCCTATCTCGTGCGTAGATTGACGTGTTAGCCTGTGTTTGGAACTCTTTCCACCAGCTGTAAATATATATAGGGTATGAGAAGATATCCAGAAGTAATGGTAATGAGAGAACTTAGTACAACATCAATATGCTATTAATGATGGTTCTTACAATGTAAGATCTTTCAGCTCCTCACAATATAGGGTTAGCAAAATGTTGAAGTCTAACTTTGAAAACTTTAGGAGCATATTATTATATGTAGTACGTTTCTCGTATATTGAGATATATTGCCTCGCTTGTACTCTTTTGAGTCTTCTGAAGAGAGGTGTTTCCAATGCATATTTCACTTCTTCTTTCAATTGCGGTTCGAGGTCGTCTACAATACACTGAAGCTGACTCTTGGTGAAAATAAGAATATTGTCAAGTATTTCTTCCCCTTTCACTCTAAGATGTGCCGCTTCATACATTCTCAATAAACATCTTGCATCATCTGTTACAATATTTCCTTTGTCATCTCTGAACTTCAAAAATACATCTGTGACATTAAAAACACATGAGACATCAATTATATTGTTGGCCAGAAGTATAGACTATGAAACAATTGTAAGAGATGGTAACGACAGAATAATAATATAGAGTCCATTGTTTAGTCTTCAACTTGAACGGTAATTCGATTTTCAACTTTGAAGGATGAAACTGGGTACTGTATGCTCTCCAACTACATACCGAAATCGAGCAAATTTGGTCCTCTCTCTAGTTTCAAAGGTGGTTTTCTATTTTTTGAAAATAAAAAAATAATTGTTTAACCTCTAAAAATGTACAATTTTTTTCTAAAGATGCCATCTATATGTTGGTGCTCTTTTTGTAGTTATTTGAATCTTATTTATTCATCTTCTTCATGTTTCAATACAATGAATAAAATAGTAGAAAAAAATAAGTTCAAAATAAATCTAAATAGATCATTAACTAATATAATAGATAACATTTTTAGAAAATAAACTGATACTTACATATTTACCTAATCTAAAATAACTTAGTTAAGATTCTTTAGTGATTAAACTAGATTTTTAATCATTTTAAGAAAAAAATAGAAACCATCTTTGAAACCAGCTAGAGGACCAAATTTGCCCAATTTCAACAGTTGGAGGTTGTCTACTATCTGATTTCATAATTTAGGGTTTAAAATTGGACCGCCGTGCAAGTTGGAGATTGAAAATGGATTTTACCCTAGAATAATATAATTACAATACTATAAGTTGTGTCCTCTTTATAAGCAGATACTACATTTAACACTTAAGCATATGTATCGCCACACTATTTCAAATAATAAAACCCCTCTTTGTTGCTTCGGTGGAAGGTGTAGACCATAAAAGTTCTTCTGAGGTTACCTGAAGTTCCAACTAAGAAATACACGACAATTACAATAGCAAAATTTGTCTGGAATCTTACCAGAAGAAATATGATATCCATGCTTCCTAAGCAAATAGAAAAGATGTGATGTTGTAGGAAGATCAAGATCTTGATCCCTAGCTTTGAAGACATTGCACATTAATTCATCAATCTCTGTGGTATAGTGATAATCCAATCCAAGCTGTTCTAGTGTATCAATACAATCTAACTTATCAGACAAATCAAAAGAATCAACATCCAGTAACATTTTCTTCACCTCCCCCTTCATTATTTCGACCTTATCCTTCATCATCAAATACTGCAAGAAAGATATTTGTAATGTTATAGTTAATCTTGTCTGTAGTATAAAAGTCAATGTGTGAACCCTTTCATATGCACAACACAACGAGCCATGTTTTACTCGAAGAGACACCTACTTGTTGATATGGAGGTCAGTGTGAACTAGAGAAACCAATATGAACGAGTTATTTATCCTAGTAACATAAAAACAACATGTATATTGGAATTACATTATATTCTCGGAATATTTTGTTGGAAACTTTTGGAAATTGTCTCGAAGATGACGAAGGGAGATAGAGCAAGCTCTAGTGTTGCAGGCCTTACAGAAGGATATAATCATATAAGGAAGAATCATTTGGGGTAGTATATAGTTATGTTAAAATAAAGCAAGTCATATATAAAATGGGATAGGTGCATATCTTGTTTCCTCCATACCATGCCACCTTATGGGCCGGACAGCCAAGTCGATCATCAGACTTTTCATACACTCAGCCATACCCTGGCCTTCAGGCACATGCACGAGCACACTATTTGATCCAATGTTGTTGAACACTATTAATCCTTTTTTCCATGGGCCGGGGTTGGTCTAAATCAGACGGTTCATCTCATGATTATATAGCTATTTAGTCACAAATGTGTGCTAAGATATTGGAGAGAGAAATAGTAACTGAGCACACTCAGATTATACAGCATTAATGCTAGGTTGGGATTATCTAAAAAAATCTAGTAATAATAGAGGAGTGATGAGATGATGGATCAGTTGTGTTCAACAAACTACATACTTGTAATGGAGGGCATGGGACATGATGAAGGAAGAAGTCACCCCACAGGGTGGGTGGTACTTGTGACGATGCACGTCCTCATTCTGTGGAGCTGGATGGATCTCCATCTTTGCCTCGGTTGCCATGTATGGCGGTTAGCTGCTACTAGCTAGTACTACTACTTGTTGCTCGTACCCACAACGAACCAGCTGCGCGATACACATGGCAAGCACCTCGATCCTATGTGTTCTTATAGCCAGCGTGCGAGGTCCATGTCCACTCAATTTTCCTTTTTTCTTTGCTGTCATGCACGCATTTTTGGGCATCAATATGCTTCACGTTTTAAACACGCAGAGCTGCAGCTGCCGACATGTAACAACAAGCTAGCCATCGATGTTCTTTTCGCCATCCGACGCATGTCATTTTCTGCAGGTCACACACACCACAACAGAACGAAACACTATATATACAGCCATTCGACGCCAGGGCCCAGACTCCTACTCATCGCCTCATCAGCCAATATACCTACGCAACACATACATTCACTGCCAGGTACAAACGCTTTACATGCAGGCACCACAACGCAGAGACAGTTACAGAATCAGCTGCCCAGATCTCCATGCAAAATGAATGGACAAGGTACCGTACGCTGATGGCTGGTCATCCATCGACGTCCTAGCCACATGAACTCCCAAGCGAGCAGCAAGAGCACGGTGGATAATATTTTCAGCATGAATTTCTCGTATGGGTGTGGCCACACGACAACCTCATGCCTTATTGCCGTGTCGCAAAGGCTGGTCCCAAAACAAAAATGCCTTTACTCCCTTTATTCAAAGAAAGAATAGGGCAGACCCAGTGCCGGATGCCCTCACATGAGTGGGGTCTGGGGAAGGGAAAACACGAGGCAAGCCTTCCCCCACAAAATTTGCGAAGAGACTGCTTCGAACCCGTGACATGGTGACTCAGTGAGACAACTCTCACCATTGCACCAGGCCTGCCCTTCTTATTCAAAGAAAGAATGTAACTTTAATATATACTGGTATGTCAAACCATTTTGAACTTAATTACGGGAATAACGGGCGAAAATGACAGGGAGCGAGAGAGAGAGAGAGCGGTTTCAGGGGCGACCGGGGAGGCAACCGTGGGGCCTCCGGCGGGGCTTCTCCGCTCGGCACCCTCGACGGAGGTGGTGGGAGGGGAGTCGTCTCCGGGGCTGGAGCGCTCTCCGGCATGTTGGGCGGGTTGGCGCATGCACTGGTAGAGAACCGAGCTTTACTCCCGGTGGGAACCCCTCTAGTCCGGTTCCCACCCGGGAGCAAGCATCCGGGACTAAAGGGGTCCTTTAGTCCCGGTCAGAACTGAGGACTAAGGAGGACCTTTAGTCGGTAGGTAACACCAACGGGACTAAAGGTGCCTCGACATGCCACGATGGCGGCAGACTTTAGTCCCGGTTAGTATCTACTAAACGGGACTAAAGGTTTTTTTTCTTTTTCTTTTCTTTTCATTTTTTGTTTTCTTTTCAAAATAGGTTTTCGAAGTCGTATTATACGCTGCTAATTATACATTTATCTGCAGCGTATAGTATGTTTCAGTTCAAGCACAATGAACGTATTAAATCACACAATTCAAGCATAGAAATATATATATATATATATATATATATATATATATATATATATATATATATATATATATATATATATGCATGCATGCATACATCATATATATATTTACATGCATGCATGCATATGTGTATTTTACATTATATTATTTCATGTGCATATATTACAAAAGATTGCATTACAGTTGTTGTGACATAAAAAGTTTCCTCTCATCCTCTAGCTTGGCTTCAATGGCAGTGTTGGGTCGAAGTAGAACTCGCCCTTGGAATCGATGACACTGCTCATTAAAAAAATTCGACTATAGACTCTTGAATTGCTTTGATTTGGTCTTGCAGTATGACCTTTTCCTCCAACCATCGAGTCTCTGAGGTTTGAATTAAAGGAAAATAAATTAATATATGTACATATATATATATATAAAGACATAGTAACACAATCAATAATAATAATTAAATGAATATATAGTGTATTTTTAACGTACTTTGAGTTTCTCTCAGGGAGTTCTTTGGGAGAGCACCTTGATAAACTTGCAAACATAGTAACCACATGATAGTTGTTCCCCTGTTCACGCCTCGAGACACCACTTTACGAGAAAAGATTTGTCATCCAATCTGGTGATCCGGTGAAAGCTATATGTTTAATTAATAAAGATGATGCGATTCGAGGACTTACTTTCAAAGGGATTACATTCAAAGTGGCGCTTTGCATTTTTCCATGTGTTGCTTCTCAATAAAGGTTTTCCAAACAACGCCCAATAAAAATTTGCCACATCATCGAGATATAGTTAATCATCATGTTTGTGTGTATATATAGTTGCTAGAGATCCCAAAATTACCTCTGGATAATATCTATCATATCTTGGTAGTCTTGTTGTTTTTCTCATCGAGTCATAGATTATCAAGTGACTTTTCACCGGATCGATGTCCATCAATATCAATTGATTCTTTGCATGTGTTTATAGGATAACGCATAACACTCATTAATTAACTAGAATCAACATATGAGCCATTAAGGATGATCGACATGATTAACACTCACTTGAAGTTATAGGAAAGAGTATATCCTTCTTGTGGCGTTGGTTCACTAAGAAGTTCATGAGGTTACTCTCGACTCATTCTTCCAATTAGTCTTTGGAGTAATTGGGTCTTTGAATACTATATGGGGATCAACAAAACCAATTTCATTGCAGCCCTCCTTTCTGAGCTCTGTCATTGTAAATCTGCATATATATAGTACTTGTTAGGATAATTTATATGCATATACACACATATGATGAGTTTAATAATAGATCGAAAAAATTATTACTTACGTGCAATAGCGACTAATGATAACTTTGTCCGAGAGAGGTCGGTGGCATAGTTGATGAAATTACGCAAAGTCAACATACATAACATCGCCATACGGAACCAATGTTCGTCTCTAATTTCGACACCAACACGAAGTCTCCATCGGTAGACGCTTTGCATGTACCACTTGTTTAGCGGTGTACATTTGCGTCCCCGGATCGAGATAAGGCTTGTGGGTTGTATAGACTCGCCTAGTACAAATTTTTCTTCCAAATATCAACCTCGCAAGCACTCTCAATGTTTCCATCACCAAACATCTGGTAAAGGTCGAGACCGGTCTCATCAAGAAATTCACCAAGGTGATCCAAATCGACATCCGGAGGTATGTTTGCTCGATGCATTAATCCTAAATTGAACCATATTCATTACCAACAACTATGGGGGATTGATTGGTGCGCTTGTTGTCCGAGTTGGGCAACTCCTTTTCCCTGCCCGCTTCTTTTTCTCGTGCCGCCTCAATTGACTTGGTGAGAGTGCGGTCATAGTAGTCCGATAACGTTGATTTGGACTGACTACGAGATTCATTTGTTGTTCTTTGGTAAGAAGTCACCTTTTTCTTAGAATATCTACGGAGCTACGAAGAAGTACGGTTTCTCTGGGTTTCTCCTTGCTTCTTGATTCATTTTAAGTTTGTCATAGAATCTAGACATGTCTTTTTTATATGCATCAGTTCCTTCTTCCTTCTCTTGAGATATTATTTTGGGAATAGCCATTGGTTTCACGGTGGCTTTTTACAAAGGGGACTGGTTCTTCGTTTGAGGGGTTGGCCTCTTGCTAGGCTTCTTGGTAGGCGGGGCGGGAGGCGTTGGAGACCTCCTTGGAGGTGTTGGCGGTGGCGTTGGAGACCTCCTTGGAGGTGGCGGCCATGGCGTTGGAGACCTCCTTGGAGATGGTGTGGATGCAGCCTCATCTTCCAACACAATGTCATCGTACAGAGCACTATGATGATCTGCCGATTGAACAATTGGATTTAGGTTGGGGAGGATTTGCTAAAAAAAGGAATGACATATTATTATGAGAGTGATTGTTAATTATTTAAGCCAATACAAATTAATGATGTAGTGTTTTCATCCACACGTACCTATGGTGAGGTAGTTAGGGAGGAGGAGGTGGAGCCGACATCCCTGGAATGATGATGTAGCGCTTGCGCCATAGAATGAATGTCTTCTCCGCTTCTCCTAGAGTCTTCTCGCCATCACCTCTAGGAATGTCAAGAGGCAAATCACTAAAACCTTTTTGATTTATCTACCGAGATGGTAGCATATCCTTCTTGGATTATATTCCTATGAATCCTTGGTGTCTTGGTTGGTCGATAGGATTAACAAGACCGATAGCCACCTTGATTGTGGAATTCTCTTTCGAATGTGTAGCTCACACGTTGTACAAGGTTCGATGACGTCATCCACAGGGAAGCGCAATGATCTGTGTCCCCTTGATTTGGTATCTCCGTGGAAGCGCATCCGCTTTTCAACCGAATGAGCAGTTGGCTAATGTTGATTCGGCTCGATGCTCGCTTGCTTGCACTCACTTGCTATTTGCACTTGCCTTCCGATTTCCTCCTGCATTCTCGCTTCAAGGTTTTTTTCCGCTCTCATGCTTCATGCACCGCTTCCTCCAACCTCTGGAGCAGCTGTGCCTCTTCTTCCTTCTTTCTCTGGCGACTTCAGAGGAAGGTGCATCTGAGGGAATCCATGCTCCCACGAGACACTTCCTTTGCCTCTAGTTCGCCACCATGTTCAATAGTCCCGATGGCGATGTCACTCATCCTTCTCTCTGTTGGGCTGAACGCACCACTAGCGATAGCTCTCCGAGCATAAAACAATCTTCTGCTTTGCTTTTTTGCGGTCTTGCGCCATAAATGCACTTCCACTCTCTCTGGTCTAGTGTTCCCCATGAGCGAAAAACCAATTCTTTGCGTTCTCCCCACTCGAGTGATTACAGTCCGATACCCTTGGCAAGAAGGTGCGCTTCCATTTTGTTCCACTTCTTAATGGCGATGGGTAGCCACCGATCCCAAGGTATGGTGGTATGTCTTACGTTGGGCATTACGTTGGTTCTTTATCACCCGACTCACACCCTCTTCCGAAATCTTGTCTTGTACAAACTCATCCCAATAGGGCCTCTCGCTTTGAGATCGGGACTGGAGCGGTAAAATCTGGT